GGCGTGCCGGGGTCCGATACCCATGCATCTTGTAGGCATGGGTCATCAAACCTTTATGGGTGGAGCAGCACCGACGCCGCTCGGGAGGGCAGTCGGGGCAGACCCAAGGACCAAGGAGCTTCAGCAGGCACGGGGTCTGTATGGACATTGATGTAAGTGGGCACGCAAACTCGCGGATGGAGGCGCGTGCAATCAGGCATCATGTCATGCAAAGCCCGCTTCAATTGAGAAGGCTCGGCAAAAAGGGCGAGCCAAGGGCCAGGCTCGGTGCATGGGTCTGGCATGCCGTGCAGGGCAGGGGCAGCCTGCCACGCCCATCTCAGATCGTCGGCCAGAGCTGCCGAAACATTCGTGCCCGGCTGCAGCCGGAGCGCACGTAAAATAGCGGGGCCACGCGCGTAAGTGGTAGCAGCAGCCACTAATCGCTTCTGCAAGAGGATCAGGTCCGTGGGCAACACGTGCAACTCCCTTAGCACCTCCCGGTCCGAGCCGTGTCCGGACCGCTTGAACCGGCAGCGGTTGGCCACCTGACGAAGCACGCGCATGCGAGCGCTGTGAAGATGCCGAACGGCGTCGGGAGAAGGGTTCAGCCATGTCTCGGTGCCGAACCACAGCTTCGAGAAGCAGAGCGAATCTGCGAGGGAGAGCCTCGTGCGCAGATCTATGTCGTAGTTGCCGTAGACGCGGTGCGCCAGAGGGTAATAGGCCTGCAAACAGGAAGTGGCCTTAGCACGCGCATCGGCGACGTAGGAGCCGTTCACTGTGCGGACTGTGCCCACGTGCTTGTAGCGGTTCGTCACAACCACTGCTCGGGAGGCGTCCGGCGTGCGCAGCATGTGACGCTTGAGCTCGGGGTCATACAGGGAGGAGCGCACTCGGCGAGATTCTTTGCCTACCAGGTGCAAGGAGACTTCCGTTTTGCCCTCCTTCAGGTTGCACTGGAGGCCGCACTCGGCGAATGCGTCGATGACGATCTCCAGCAGCATGCTGGCCTGCATGGAGGCCAGAGCAGGGCTGGCACACATCAACATGAAGAGGACGTCATCCACGAATGTGATGTCGAAGAGGTCCGCAGAAACGCCCGGGTAGGGCGCAGCGGTCGGACTCGCTGGGAGGGCTTCAGGAGAGATGCGCCAAGGGCACTGGCCTGCAGCAGCTTCGACGAGAAGTACGAGACCAGCATCGCGAGCCCGCTGTCGGACCTTCTTCAGAGCATACTCGTAAATCACGTTGAAAATTAAAGCCCCAATCTCGCAACCCTGCCTCGTGCCCTGTATATATATATATATGTATATATATATATATACATATTTTCCCTTTTCTATATTTAATCGCTTCGCTCATGCCGCCGGCCCTGGAGCCCTCTTTAGGGCCTCTTGGGGGCCTCTTGGGGACCTCTTGGGAGTCTCTTGGGGCTCCTTGGCGGCGTTTTGGAGGCCCCCAGGGCCTCTTGGGGGGCTCTTGGGGGTAGTCGATTGCGGCTCCCCCCTCGGAGGCCACGATCCTCGTGAGGGGTGTCGAAAAATACCCTCCCCTGGAGTGGTCTGGTGGCTTCTCCCGGGCTTCTCTCGGGACCTTGCCGGGGTATTTTTCGTCCGGGGGCCCCCAGGGGCCGCTCCGCGCGCGCGAACTAGAAATATTGTTAACAAGTTACCGGAGATCTTAGCACGCCCCTGGCCCGTTGGGCCGGCGAATTTTTACAATCCGGGGGGGTGGGACCCCCCCCCCCCTCCCCGGAAAATCGGACCCCCGGGATCTGGCGCTTTTGGGGCCCCCTGGACGCCTTGCAAGGGGTCCCCCGGGCCTTCCGGGCCTCCTGGACGCCCTTGCCGGGCCTTGCCAGCGGGCCCAAAGCGGTCAGGAGGGTGGCCAAACGGCCCCGCGAGAGCCCCACGAGGCCCCAGACAGCCCCAAGACGCCCGAAGACGACCCAAAGAAGACCCCCAAGAGGTCCTCCAAGTGCAAAAAAACAACACTTTCCTTTCGTTTTGTTTATTGAATGTTTGGACATTCGGTTCTTCGGTATTCCGTGCGTCCGAGTCCGCCGAAGAAGCCCCAACAATCCTCCCACAACGGTGTCAAAGGGCTTCCAGGCAGTCCAACAGAGCCCCAACATGGTCCAACAGGGCCGCAAGATGGCCCCAAGACGCCTCCCGAAGCACTCCAAATCGTGACCCGGTCGTTCAGGGAGACCGTGGTTGGTAGCAAGGTGGCCGCAAGAAGCCCCCAGAGGCACCCAACAGGCGCCCAGGAGGCCCCCAGAGGTCCACAAAAAGCTTTTGAGAGGGGCCCAAGAACACCTCCAAAGAGGAGCCCCTGCAATAAAAACTGGGGATAAGGACAAGGAGTGGCTCGCAGACAAGGAAGATTACGAGTAAGAGGAGAGGAAGTAGAATAATAGTACATAACATTACTATAACGACGATGGCGCAACCGGCAACACAAATCATCGCTATATTTGGTTATCCTGCACGCCGAGCTTCAAGAACCAAGGTGCCATGGTGCGAAGCGCCAATGCAGTCTTGTATATATATATATATACACCTATATATAAAAATACATGTTTTTATATATATATATATATATATATATATATATATATACCGCCAGATGTCCGGGCGCACCTCGGAAAGTTTACGTTTGTATCATGATTCTTCAAGCTTACGCCACATCCGCCGACCCCTTGTTTTTTTTTCTGGGGCGATGCGCGCACGGGGGCGAAAAAGTTTGAATGCTCCGCGTGCCCACCGAACGGGGACGGGAAGAAACCAGCGTTTTCAGACGGGGGCCATTTGTCGAAAGACCAGAAGAAGAATTATTTCAAGCGAAACAACCCAGTTGTGTGCGCGAAGTGTTTTAAAGCGGGACGAGCGCCGCGGAGAGACCCTCCGAAACGCCCGGCGGAACCAAGTGACGAGCATTGCGACAAGGCACGGAAGTTGCGAGGAATCTGACCGCTGGGGACGGGATGGATAAGGGGGACGTGGAGGAGGGAGGATGGGGGAGCAGCCAAAGGCGGAGAAGGTGAAAAGTGAGCCAGTGGAGGGAATACGAGACAGAAAGCTGAGAGGGGAGACGGGAGGAGGGGGCGGAAGAGGAGGATGAGAAGGAGCAGGAGAACACGACGAGGACGACAATGGCGGCGACAGACTCGACGGCGTAGGCTGGGCACCTTTTTGGGGCCATCTTGGGGGCTTCGTTGACCGTTGTGGGAGCCTCTGGCGCCGTCGTCGTGAGAATCCTCTCGGGGGCCTGCGGGAGGCAGTTTGGAGGCTTCTGGGGAGCTGTTTTGGGGCAGCTTGGGGCTTTTTTTGGGCTTGTTGGGGGCCTCTTGGGGGCTTCTTGGAGCCTCTTGGAGGCCTCTTGGGGCCTCCTTGGCGCCTTTTGGGGCGGAAGGCTAGAATTTTAGGTTCGTGGTCCCCGTCTGGAGCCTTTCTTGGGCCCCTCTGTGGGCCCTCTTGGACTGTCTGAAGGCCCTCTTGAGCCGTTTTGAGGCGCTCTTGGGCCGTGTTGGGGCCCACTTGGGAGCCTCTCGGGTCGTCTTGATGCCGTCTTGGGGGCTTCTTTCGCCGTCTTGGAGCGTCGGAAGCCCGAAAAAACGCGAAGGCCAAAAACGTTGAAAAAACCAATGGAAATCGACGATTTTGGCCTCTTGGGGCCATCTTGGGAGGCGTCTTGGAAGCTTCTTGGGGCGTCTTGGAGGCATCTGGGGCCATCTGGAGGCCATCTTGACCGTCTTCGAGTGTTTTTTCGGCGACTCGGGGCCCTCTTGGACCGTCTGCAGAGCTTCTTGGGAGCCTCTTCGCTCGTTTGCGGCCCCCCCAGCAGACTCTCTGGAGCGGATGACCCCCCCCGGACCGCGCCGGCGGATCCCGGGGAATCCGGCCGGACCCCCCCCCCCCCCCCTCCAAAACGACCGGACCAGGCTCCGGGGGGAGGGGTTTGGGGAGGGGGGAAGCATCTCACACGCCGATGACCCCAAGGGGTCGGCGGATTTGCTTCCCGGGTCGAGGATGGGAGCTCCGCGAGAATGGACAATCCACGAGCGTGGTTCTCATGCAGAAGACTACGACTGTGAGAGCCGTCCAGAGCTCTGCTGGCCTGAGAACCCCACGGGCGCGAAGTCCGCGAGCGCGAAGGCCACGAAGAAGTGCGTGCTCGGGACATCCACCCGCGTGACCTCCGTGAGGCACTCACGAGCGGCAGCTCCACGAGGGGTTCGAGCATGAGCCCTGAGAGAACATCCACGAGCAGCCACTCCACGAGTGCGAGCTCCACTGGGGTATCCCCGAGCAGGGCCGCCGCGAGGTTTTCCACTGGTACAAGGTTCCAGATTAACCCAACCCGCATGGAGCCCGCGCACACGAACTCCACGAGGAAACTCGTGAGGAGTGCCAACCGCGAGGAAGCAAGCGATCATGGAAACAGTGAGCGTGAACTCCGCAAGCGTGACAGCGCGCAGCAGTAACTCCGTGACGAGATCCGAAGCCAGGAGCTCCACGAGCGCCGACTCCATGAGAAAGTCCGCAAGCACGAACTCATGAAGGGGGTTGTGGATGAGGGAGTTTGGACAAGGGAGGAGGAGGGAGGGGGAGGGAGGGAAGAGAAAGAGGAGGAGGAGGAGGATGAAAAGGAGGGAGGAGGAGGGACGCGGGACGGAGACAAGGGGAGGCCAGGCGACCGTCGACCAAAAGATCAGATGCAATGTCCGTCTCGACGGAGAGTCGCGAAGAGCTTGGTATCAAGATTTGTTTTCGTTTCAGACCCCCTGTACCCATCGGTTGTTGAAAGTAGGTATTTTTGGATTCCCATATTCCAATCTACTTTAAGCGCCTTCCTACTTCAATGATCGAGTGGCTTCCCCTCTTCCCTCCTCTTTCGAGGGCGGACGGAACCCAATCTACTTTCAACGCCTTCCTACCTCATGTTTCTACCTACTTCTTTCGACCGATGGGTACTCGTTGTCGACATCGTCCGCATAAGGAGGGTCGTGTCTGCAGGTCGGCACGTATGCCCAAGTGAAGGCCGTGATGTACGTCAACGACCAGGAGACGCGAGGAAAGGCATCTGCGATCCCACCTCTGGTCCCAGAACCCCTTCCCCTCCGCCTCCCCGCTCCGGGAATGTGGGCTGGAATTGCGTTTGCAATGTAGGGGTCCCAGGTAGATCTTCCAATGATCCAGGTCACCCGAGGCGGCGCGAATATAGAATCGTGCGTCGCGCATCGCTGCTTGGGTTGGAGAGGCGCCCTTCCCCAGGGCGGCGGCGCGATGGCGTGAAGTTAGAAGACCTAGATGATTCCGAAATCCCAAAGGCCTCACTGTACGGAGTGTTGCCAGAGGGCTTTTGGGACGGGTCCCGCGGCGCAAGAGGCGTCCTCGGTCAACGGCTTAGACCCCAGCACGGCCCTCACACCTCGCGAAGCACGTGGCGCCTTCAGGCGCCCTCGGACAACGGCTTAGGCCCCAGCACGGCCCTCTCACCTCGCGAAGCATTTTCGAATCGCCAGACGGTTTGGTAATCGGACCGCCCAGGGACCCCCGATGCAAGCCGCCGCCTAAGCACGGCCCTCTCACCTCGCGAAGCATTTTCGATTCGCCAGACGGTTTGGCCGTCGGACCGCCCGGGGACCCCCGATGCAAGCCGCCGCCTGTTGGACGGCCCGCCCACCCCGCATCATGTTCGACTCACCAGGAGTCGGAGGTTGATAGACCTCCTACCCTGACACGTCGATTAGCGGATTGGCCGCTTTCGGTTCGCGAGAGGGCGTCGCGGCCGTCATTTTTGCGGTTCCAGGTCCGTCGGTTTTGGTCTTAGGCCGTTTCCATTAAAGGGAGATTTACTAAAGGGAGGTTTGGAGGCTTGGTCGCCAGGCCGACCATGGACCCCCGGTGCTGGCGCGAGGGAAAATCGGGCGGGCACGGGACCAGATAAAAATCGCTCCAGAGCGTTCGGGAGCCCTGTCAGGGGGCCACATGCGAGCCCTACCCCTGCCCCCCCCCCCCCCTACACAATTTCTGAGAGGGAGGGTGGGGTTCGCTTCGTTCGGGAGCTCCCAAACAAAGTGGACCCCGCCCCCCCCTCAGAAATCGTGGGGGGTAGGGGTAGTGTTCGCATGTGGCCCCCTACCTGTCAGAGCGTTCCAGAGCGATCTCGAACGGTCGCGGCGCCCGATTCATCCTCCAGAGCCGCCAGATTTCTGAGATCCCCGATTTGTCCCAGTCCGACGTTGTCTTGCCTGGTCCAGGCTTCGTCTCAGAGCTCCATTCTTCTCCAACGGGGCCAGCTTAGAGGGGGTCGATGGATTACGCCGCAGCGCCAATGCATCGGCGATGCGGCGCGATCGGGAGTCTGGTGCATCGCCAGGGCGGTGCGATCCGTTGCCATCATCCACTCTGGCCGCATCGGGGAGGCTTCCAGAAACAGATCCTGGACCCCGGGGCTTTCTCGAGGGTCGGCTTCTCATCCCGAGCCGTTTTGTTGGCGTTCCCCGGGGCCACTGGAGGACCCCAGGAGTCTGAAAGGGGTGAGAAGCCTCCAGAGCGCGTTTCCTGACTCCATCTCCTGCTCGGTCACCCCGCAGGGGCGCGAAGATGACACCTCGCGCATCGCAGCTCGGGCCAGAGGGGCGCCTTTCGGCAGGGCGGCGGTTGAGGGCGCGAAGACAGCCGCGCGCCGCGCCTCGCGGGGCGCGGCGCGCGTAGCTACTTGGGCGGCCTACAGCCGACAGGGAAGACGCTGCAGTAGGGTCCAATTCGGGCTACTGAGGGGCTCTCCTCCTCCTCCTCCTCCTCCTCCTCCTCCTCCTCCTCCTCCTCCTCCTCCTCCTCCTCCTCCTCCCCCCCCCCTTCCTCCTTCCTCCTCCTCCTCCTCCTCCCTCCTCCTCCTCCTCCTCCTCCCGCCTCCTCCTCGCCTCCTCCTCCTCCTCCGCCGCTCCTCCTCCTCCGCCGCCTCCGCCTCCGCCTCCGCCCCCCTCCTCCGCTTCCTGCTTCTCCTCTTATTCCTCCTCCTCCTTCTCCTCCTCCTCCTCCTCCTCCTCCTCCTCCTCCTTCTCCTCCTCCTCCTTTCTCCTCCGCCTCTCCCTGCTCCTGCTCCTCTTCCTCCTCCTCCCCTCCTCCTCCTCCTCCCTCCTCCTCCTCCTCTTCCTCCTCCTCCCCCTCCTCCTCCTCCTCCTCCTCCTCCTCTCCTCCTCCTTCTCCTCCTCCTCCTCCTCCCCCTCCTCCTCCTCCTCCTCCTCCTCCTGTTCCTCCTCCTCCTCCTTCTCCTCCTCCCCTTGTCTCCGTGGCGACGCCCAGCAGGAGGTGATGATGGTCAACCGGACGCTGCTGCCCGTGCGTTTGCTGGGGAAGGCCTGGCGCTTCTCCAGGCGCCCAGCCGAGGCGACGGAGGCCGACGCGGAGGCCGACGCGGAGGTCGCGCTCCGCTGGTGGCGCCGCCGCCGTCGCCGCCGCCGACGTCGTCGTCGTCGTCAACACGTCTTCGCGTCGTCGTCGTCGTCGTCATCGTTGCCGCCGTCGTCGTCGTCGCCGTCGCCGTCGCCGTCGTCGTCGTCGCCGTCCCCGTCGTCGTCGTCGTCTTCACGTCGTCGTCGTCGTCCTTGTCCTCCTCCTCCTCCTCCTCCTTGCCGCCGACGCCGTCGTCGTCGTCGTTGTTGCCCTCGCCGCCGTCTTCACGTCGCCGTCGCCGTCGCCGTCGTCGTCGCTGTTGTCTTCGCCGTCGTCGTCGCCGTCGTTGTCGTCCTTGTCCTCGTCCTCCTCCTCCACCTTGCCGCCGACGCAGTCGTCGTCAACGTCGTTACCCCCGCCGCCGTCTTCACGTCGTCGTCGTCGTCGTCGTTCCTATCGTCGTCGCCGTCGTCGTCGTCGCCGTCGGCATCTCTGTCGCCGTCGCCGTCGCCATCGCCGTTGTCGTCGTGGCCGCCGTCGTCGATGTCGTCGTCGTCGTCGTCGTCGTCGTCGTCGTCGTCGTCGTCGTCGTCGTCGTCGTCATCGACATCGCCGAGGTCGTCGTCGCTGCCGCTGCCGCCGCCGCAGTCGCAGTCGCAGTCGTCCTCGTCGTCGTTCTTGTCCTCCTCCTCCTCTACGATGTCGCCGCCGCCGACGCCGTCGTCGTCATCGATGTTGCCCCCGCCGCCGTCTTCACGTCGTCATCGTCGTCGTCGTTGCCGTCGCCGTAACGTCGCCGTCGCCGTCGTCGTCGTCGCCGTCGCCGTCGCTGTCGCCGCCGCCGTCGCCGTCGTCGTCGCCGTCGCCGTCGCCGTTGCCGTCCCTGTCGTCGCCGTCGCCATCGCCGTCGCCGTCGCCGTCGCCGTCGCCGTTGCCGTCGTCGCCGCCGTTGCCGTCGTCGTCGTCATCGTTGTCGTCGACGTCGCCGTCGCCATCGCCGCCGCCGTCGCCGTCGCCATCGCCGCTGCCGTCGTCGCTGTCGCAGTCGCCGTCGTCGTCGCCCTCGGCGTCGCCGTGGCCATCGTCGCCGCCGTTGGCGTCGCCGTCGCAGTCGCCGTCGCAGTCGTCACAGCTGTCGCCGTCGCCTTCGTCGCCACCGTCGCCGTCGTCGTCTTCGTCGTTGTCGTTGTCGTCCTTATCCTCGTCCTCCTCCTCCACCTTGCCGCCGACGCCGTCGTCGTCATCGTCGTTACCCCCGCCGCCGTCTTCACGTCGTCGTCGTCGTCGTCGTCGTCGTCGTGGTCGTCCCTGTCGTCGTCGCCGTCGCCGTCGCCGTCGTCGTCGCCGTCGCCATCGCCGTCGCCATCGCCGCTGCCGTCGTTGCTGTCGCAGTCGCCGTCGTCGTCGCCGTCGCCGTCGCCGTCGCCGTCGCCGTCGTCGCCGCCGTTGGCGTCGCCGGCGCAGTCGCCGTCGCCGTCGTCACAGCCGTCGCCGTCGTCGTCGTCTTTGTCGTGGTCGTCGTTGTCGTCCTTGTCCTCGTCCTCCTCCTCCACCTTGCCGGCGCCACCGACGCCGTCGTCGTCATCGTCGTTGCCCCCGCCGCCGTCTTCGCGTCGTTGTCGCCGTCGTCGTCGCCGCCGTCGCCGTCACCGTCGCCGTCGCCGTCGCCGTCGCCGTCTTCGTCGCCGTCGCCATCGCCGTCACCGTCGTCGCCGCCGCCGCCGCCGCCGTCGCCATCGCCGTCGCCGCCGTTGTCGCCGTCGCCGTTGCCATCGCCGTCGCCGTCGTCGTCGTCGTTGCCGTTACCGTTGCCGTCGTCGCCGCCGTCGCCGTCGTCGTCGCCGTCGTCGTCGCCGCCGTCGTCGCCACCGCCATCGCCGCTGTTGTCGTCAACGGCGTCGCCGCCGCCGTCGTCGCCGTCGTCGTCGCCGTCGCCTTCGCCGTTGCCGTCGACGTCGCCGTCGTCGTCGTCTTCGTCGTCGTCGTTGTCGTCCTTGTCCTCATCGTCCTCCTCCACCATGCCGCCGACGCCGTCGTCGTTATCGTCGTTGCCCCCATCGCTGTCTTCACGTCGTCGTCGCCGTTGCCGTCGCCGTCGCCGTCACCCTCGCCCTCGCCGTCGCCGTCGCTGTCGCCGTATCCGTCGCCGTCGCTGTCGCCGTCGCCGTCGCCGTCGCCGCCGCCGCTGCTGCCGTCGCCATCGCCGTCGCCGTCGTCGCCGTCGTTGCCGTCGTCGTCGCCGTCGCCGTCGCCGTTGCCGTCGCCATCGCCGTCGCCGTCGGCGTCGCTGTCGCCGTTGCCGTCGTCGCCGCCGTCGCCGTCGTCGTCGCCGTCGTCGTCGCCACCGTCGTTGCCACCGCCTTAGCCGCTGTCGTCGTCAACGGCGTCGCCACAGCCGTCGTCGCCGTCGCTGTTGTCGTCGCCGTCGTCGTCGTCGCCGTTGCCGTTGACGGTGCCGTCGTCGCCGCTGTCGCCGTTGTCATCGCCGCTGCAGGTCACCGCCGCGGGGACTGCGGCAGGCGCCTCGGAGGTGGCCAGCGCCGTGGAGATCGGGGGAAGGGACCGCCGGCTGTGCGCCAGCGCACCGATTCTTGGTCAGGCCGACCCTGGGCCCCTTCCTCCTCCTCCTCCTTCTCCTCCTCTTCCTCCTCCTCCTTTTCCTCCTCCTTCAAGTCCTTAGAGGCGCCTGTGAGGGGGGAACTCGGAGGGGGGATTTATTGCAACATTGTTTATGAGTCTTGGGTTTACACTGGTCCTTCGTCTGCTCCTCCTCCTCCTCCTCCTCTTCCTCCTCCTCTTCCTCCATTCCATTTCCCCCCTCAGTTTCGCACCCCGAGACTTGTCGGTAGGGCGGGCTGGGCGTTTCGCCTGATATGCCCTCACGACTTATGGCTCCTGAGCTTGAAATGTGCAAGAGCTGCACTCGCGGAGGGCGGGCCGCTTTCACAACGTGACTCTCGCCTTAGCGCCGCGCACAATCATGTCAAAACGTTTTCAAAACAAGCAAGAGTGCACAAATGGAAGGGGGATTATTTTCACAATGTGGCTCTCGCCTCACGAGTCTACAACAGTTTCGAGGATAATCATGGTCAACGTCCCAGGACTGATGCTTTGGCACGACGTCGGACTGTCGGGCCGCAACAGTTACTTTGATTCGCAGCGTTGAAGTCCTAAGGGTCGTGTTTTGGCACGACTCAGGACCGTCAAGACGCAACAGTAGCGGTGATTCGCGGTGTTGAAGTCCCAGGAATTGTGTTCAGTCACTTTTCTGAATTTCCCAATTGTTGTCTTCCAGCGGGGCACTTCCCTCAGTGAAACTGAATCCTTGTAGGGGCCTGTGAAGAGGGAACTTGGAGGGAGGATTCATTGAAGTATCGTTGATGAGTCGTGGGTTTACACTGGTCCTCCTCCTCCTCCTCCTCCTCGCCCTGCTCTTGCTCCTCTTCGCCCTCCTCATCTCTCTGTGCTGCTGCTGCTCCTCCTCCTCCTCCTGCTCCTCCTCCTCCTCCTCCCTCCTTCTCCTGTTCCTCCTCCTCCTGTTCCTCCTCCTTCTCCTCCTCCTCCTCCTCCCTCCTCCTCCCTCTCCTCCTCCTCCTTTTCCTCCTCCTCCTCCTCCTCCTCCTCCACGTCACAGGTCAGTCGGGTTGGGGGAAACGCAAGGCTCCAGTTTGCCAGAACTCGGATTTACCTACGCCTCTTGACGGGCCCGTGCTGAATTTTGGCGGTTGAGTTTTCGTGGGATGTTTGAAGCGGGAGCTCGCGTCAAATCTCAGACTGGGTCACCTCATTCTCTTGACGGCCTAGTCTGGCCGGTCCGGAACTGAGTCTTACGTCCAGGTTCGATCTCGCTGCACAGCCGACGCCCTCTTGAAGACCCCAAACTGGCATGCGCCTAAAGATTCAGGGGTCTGCGCGGATTTCTTGGGTCGGCGCTGGGCTCCCCTCCCCACACACCTTTGGCGGCGCCTCCAGCGGAAACCAGCGCCAGCCGAAGAAGGCCACGCGGAGCTCCGAAAGTTTCTGGTTTTACCATTCTTTAGCGCTCTACTGTCTCAGGAGAGTTTCCTGGCCCGCTTCCCCGTGGACGACGAGGCGAAGCCGTTGGTGCCATAATCGCAGCCGTCGCCTCCGTCGTCGTCACCGTCGTCAACGTCGCCGTCATCGCCGTTGTTAACGTCGCCGCCGCCGCCGCCGTCGTCGTGGTCGCCGCCGCGCCATTGTCGTAGTCGTCGTCGTCGTCGTCGTCGTCGTCGTCGTCGTCGTCGTCGTCGTCGTCGTCGTCGCCGTCGTGGTCGTCGGCGTCGTCGTCGTCGTCGTCGTCGTCGTCAGCGTCGTCGTCGTCGTCGTCGTCGGTCGTCGTCGTTGTCATTGTCCTCGTACTCGTTCTCGTCCTCGTCGTTCTCGTCGCAGTCGTCGTTGTCGTCCTCGTCCTCGTCCTCGTCGTCCTCGTTCTCGTCCTCGTCCTCGTCCTCGTCGTCGCCGTCGCCGTCGTCGTCGTCCCCGTCGTCCCCGTCGTCCCCGTCGTCCCCGTCGTCCCCGTCGTCCTCATCCTCATCCTCCTCCTCGCCCTCGTTGCCGCCCCCTCCGTCGTAGTCGTCGTTGTCGTCATCGCCGCCGCCGCCCCGCCGGCGGCGTCGTCGTCGTTCTCGCCCTCCGCGCGCCCCGCTCGGGCTGCGCAGGGCCGCGCGTGGGGCTGGGAGTGTGGGTCTGGTGGTCGTTTCGGCGTCCTTCTTCGGCAGGGAGATGAAGAAGGAAACCAGAACCGGAACCCGAACTGGAACCGGAACCAAAACCATAGCAGAAGAGGGCCGAAGGAAGACGGAGCCCAAGCCGGAACCAGAGCCGGAACCAAAGCCAGAGCCGCGGGGCCCTCCGAAGGAAATTGGAACCGGAATTGGAACTGGAGCCGTGACCTAAGAGGCCTTCTTCGGGACGCGGAAGAAGAAGGAAACCGGAAAATTGGAACCGGAAGAAGAATTATCCCGGCAAAGCAACCTAACAGCCATGTGTAGGAGCATCTCTGGGTCGAACAGCATCCTCGTTCTCCTCCTCCTCCTGGTGGTCTCCCCCCCCCCTCCTCCTCCTCCTGGTGGTCCTCGTTCTCCTCCTCCTGGTGCTCTCCCCCCCCCTCCTCCTCCTCGTCCTCCTCCTCCTCCTCCTCCTCGTCCTCCTCCTCCTCTTCCTCCTCCTCCTCCTCCTCCTCCTGGTAGTCCTCCCCCTCCCCTCCTCCTCCTCCTCCTCCTCCTCTTCCTGGTCGTCCTCGTTCTCGTCCTCCTCGTCTTGCTCGTCCTCCTCCTCCTGGTGTTCTCTCCTCCTCCTCCTCCTCCTCCTCCTCCTCCTCCTCCTGGTCCTCCTCCTCCTGGTGCTCTCCCCCCCCCTCCTCCTCCTCCTCGTCCTCCTCCTCCTCCTCCTCCTCCTCCTCCTCCTCCTCCTCCTCCTCCTCCTCCTCCTCCTCCCCCTCCCCTCCTCCTCCTCCTCCTCCTCTTCCTGGTCGTCCTCCTCCTCCTGGTCGTCCTCCTCCTCCTGCTCGTCCTCCTCCTCCTCCTGCTCGTCCTTCTTCTCCTGCTCCTCCTGCTCCTCGTCCTGCTCCTGCTCGTCCTCGTCCTCCTGGTCTTGCTCGTCCTCCTCCTCGTCGTGCTCTTGCCCCTGCTGAAAATGTGGCCCAGGAATGGGAGTTCTGGGAAGTCGAAGAGCACGAAGTTGCCTACAGTTGGCTACGGGCATTCAAAATGTGGCCCGGGAATGGAGTTCTGGGAACTCGAAGAGCACGAAGTGGCCTACAGTTGGCTCCGGGCATTCAAAATGTGGCCCGGGAATGGAGTTCTGGGAACTCGAAGAGCACGAAGTGGCCTACAGTTGGCTCCGGGCATTCAAAATGTGGCCCGGGAATGGAGTTCTGGGACTCGAAGACCACGAAGTGGCCTACAGTTGGCTCCGGGCATTCAAAATGTGGCCCGGGAATGGAGTTCTGGGAAGTCGAAGAGCACGAAGTGGCCTACAGTTGGCTCCGGGCATTCAGAATGTGGCCCGGGAATGGAGTTCTGGGAGGTCGAAGAGCACGAAGTGTGTGACTGTTGGCTTAAAACGACTTCTGCGGCACCCTGTCGGGCACCCGCCCAGACCCCCCTGTGGAGTCATCTGCTGCTCTCTTTTTAGCCCATTAGAAACCTATCAGAACAAGCTGTTAGGTAATGAAAAGGAATCCGGAACCGGAACCAGAACCACGACGACCGTCACGGACCAAAAATCAAGAAGGACATTAAATCCAGAACCGGAACCGGAACCAGAACCGTGACCCGAGGGGTCATTCTTGGGAACCCGAAGAAGAAGAAGGAAACCAGCACCGGAATCGGAACCGGATCCAAAACCGTGCGTTTGAAGAAGAAGGAATCCGGAACCGGAACCAGAACCAAAACCGTGATTTGGGATATCTCCTTTGGGACCCCTTAAGAAAAAGACACCGGAACCGCAACCAGAACCAAAACTTGAGGGGTGGGACCCAGGCCCGAAGAAGAAGGAAACCAACCAGAACCGGAACCAGAAGCAGAACCAAAACCGTAATTTGGGGGTTCTTTTCTGGGACCCCGAAGGAGAAGAAAACCAGAACCGGAACCAGAACCAAAACCGTGACTTTGAAGGTTTTTTTGGGACCCCGAAGAAGAAGAAGGAAATTTGAACCGTAACCAGAACCAAAAACGTGACTTTGGAATCCTTCTTTGGGACCCTGAAGAAGAAGAAGGAGAAAACCAGAACCAAAACTAGAACCGGAATCAAAACCGTATTTTTTGGGGTTCTCTTTTGGGGCCCCGAAGAAGAAGGAAACCGGAACCGGAACCGGAACCAAAACCGTAATTTGGGTTTTTTTGGGGGGACCACGACGAACGAGGAAACCCGAATCAGAACCGGAACCGGAACCATAACCAGAACCGGAATCAGAACCAGAACCGGAACCAGAACCGCAATTGTGACCAGGACTGGTCCTGGTTCTGGTCGTGTGGCGGCATTATTATTATTATAGGTAGTCTTCATAATGCAAACATGCACTCTGACCGCGACCAAGATCAGGACTGGTTTGGTCGCGGTCGCGGACTAGTATGTTTATTGAGCAATTGCAATAATGTGCCCCGACCGCGCCCTGCCCGAGACCAAGACTTGTACTGTTCACTGTCTCCGGGCGGCATTCTCCTGATAGTGCACCCCGACCGCGACCAGAGTCTGACAACAAAGAGTTGGCTTAATTTACTTTGGTGGCGAAGTCTGCCTATCCGGGGGGGGCTAGTGGATCAGAGGGGCGCGTCTAGCACCAAAGAACTCGTTTAAACTCGCGTGTTAATCAGCTTGGGGAAGGGCCTTGCCTAACAGAGGGTGCTGCACCACAGCGGGGCACGTCAAGCACCAAGGATGCTTTTTAAATCAGCTGGGGGAGGGGCCTTGACTAGCAGAGGGTGCTGCTCCACAGCGGGGCACGTCCAGCACCAATAATGTTTTTAAATCAGTTTGGGGAAGGGCCTTGCCTAAAAGAGGGTGCTGCACTCCAGCGGGGCGCGTCTAGCACCAAGGATGCTTTTTAAATCAGCTGGGGGATGGGCCTTGACTAGCAGAAGGTGCTGCACAACAGCGGGGCACGTCCAGCACCAATAATGATTTTTAATCAGTTTGGGAAAGGGCCTTGCCTAACAGAGGGCGCTGCACCACACAGGGGCACGTCTAGCACCAATGTTGTTGGTCTACATATATATATATATATGTTCATGTTTATGTGTGCACACCTACATGTATATATATATATATATAGATACGTAAATATGTATGTATATGCATGTGTGTATGTATATATGTACATATATTCAGCTTGGGGAAGGGGCACGTCTAGCACCAAGGTTGCGCTTCGAATCAGCTTGGAGTTGGGCCTTGCCTAGCAGAGGGTGCTGCACCACACGAGGGCACGTGGTACACCAATGATGTTTAGGATGTTCGGAAATCAGCTTAGGGAGGGGCCTTGCCTAGCAGAGGGTGCTGCGCCACAGTGGGGCGCGTCTAGCACCACGGATGGTTTAAAACAAACAATCAGATTGGAGGGGGGCCTGGCCTAGCAGAGGACGCTGCACCACACAGCGGCACGTTCAACACCAAGGATGATATGTTTAATCAGCTTGGGGAAGAGCCTTGTCTAGAAGAGGGTGCTGCACCACAGTTGGGCACGTCGAGAACAATGCTTTCTTTTTTTATAAAAAAAGAAGATAAAAACAGAAACCCTTGGGGAGGGGCCTTGCCTAGCAGAGGGTGCTGCACCACACAGGGGCACGTCTAGCATCAAGGTTGCTTTATTGATCAGCTTGGGGAGAGGCGTTGCCTTGCAGAGGGTGCTGCACCACACAGGCGCACGTCAAGCACCAATGCTGCTTTTGTATTTAAAAATCAGCAGTTTGGGGAGGGGCCGTGCCTAGCAGAGGGTGCTGCACCACACAGTGGCGCGTCTAACACCACAGATATGTTTTTATCTAAAGGTTAGTGTGGGGAGGGGCCTTGCCTACCAGAGGGTGCTGCACCACACAGGGGCACGTCTAACACCAATGATGTTCTATACAAATATAACAGTTCGGGGATGGGTCTTGCCTAGCAGAGGGTGCTGCACCACACAGTGGCGCGTCTAGCACCACGGTAATGTTATATGTATATTTATATACAGCTTGGGAAAGGGCCTTGCCTAGCAGAGGGTGCTGCACCACACAGGGACACGTCTAGCACCAAGGATGTTTGTTTTGAATCAGCTTGGGGAGGGGCCTTGCCTAACAGAGGGTGCTGCACCACAGCGGCGCACGTCTAGCACCAAGGATGCTGTTCAAATCAGCTTGGGGAGGGGCCTTGTCCAGCTGAGGGGATGTTGCACCACAATGGGCACGTCTAGCACCAATGATGTTTTTGTTTAAAAAAATTGCTGGGGAGGGGCCTTGATTAGCAGAGGGTGCTGCACCACACTGGGGCACGCCTAGCACCAAGGATGCGTTTTGAACCAGCTCGGGGAAGGGGCATTGCCTAGCACAGGGTGCTGGAGCACAATGGGGCACGTCTACAACCAAGGATGCTGTTTTGACCAGCTTGGTGAGGGGCCTTGTCTAGCAGAGGGTGCTGCACCACACAGGGGCACGTCTAACACCAAGGAGGTGTTTTGAATCAGCTTGGGGAGGGGTTTTGCCTAGCAGAGGGTGCTGCACCACAGTGGGGCGCGTCTAGCACCAAGGATGCTGTTCTAATCAGCTTGGGGAGGGGCCTTGCCTAGCAGAGGGTGCTGCACCACACAGGGCCACACACACAGGTGCTGCTGTTTCAATCAGCTTGGTGAATGGGCCTTGTCTAGCAGAGGGTGCTGCGCCGCGCAGGGGCACTTTTAACACCAGGGATGCGTTTTGAGTCAGCTTAGGAAGGGGCGTTGCCTAGCAGAGGGTGCTGCACCACACGGGGCCACGTCAAGCACCAATGATGTGTTTTGAATCCGCTTGGGGAGGGGCCTTGCTTAGTAGAGACTGCAAACTACAGTGGGGCGTGTCCAACACCAAGGATGTTTTTGATCAGCTTGGAGTGGGGCCTGGCCTAGCAGAGGGCGCGGCACCACACAGGGGCACGTCTAACACCAAGGATGCTTGTTACATCAGCTTGGGGAGGGGGTCCCGGGGCAGCATTTGTAGGGTTCGGAATAATAGCGCGTCGCCGATACCGTCGCGGTCCTGGTCCTGGGGCGGCAATAATTGGAGCTTGAATAAGAATGCCGTTCCGAGACAAGGACCGTGGCCAATCGCGGTCCTGGTCCCACGGCGGCATCATTCGGGTTTGGAATAATCATGGGTCCCGGGACCAGATCCAGGACCGCGACTGGTCACGGTCCTGGTCGCGGGTGGCATTATGAGGATTCGGAATAATTCTGCCCCGTGAACGGGACCGTGACGTGTCGCGGCCCTGGTCCCAGGGAGGCATTACTAGGGTTCGGAATAAAATACCGCCTCTTGAGCAGGACCGCGACCAGTCGCAGTCTTGGTCGTGAAGCGGCATTTTCATGATTCGGAATAATAATGCCGCTCGGGGCAGCAATATTTGGAGTCCAAATCATAATGCCGCCCCGAGACCAGGACCGTGACCAATCGCGGTCCTATTCCCGGGGCAGCATTCATAGTGTTCGGAATAATAATGATACCGCCCCGGAACCAAGAACCAGTCGCGGCCCTGATCCCTGGGCGGCATTCGGGTTCGGAATGATGACGCCGCCCCGAGACCAGGACCGTGACGTCTCGCGGTCCTGCTCTCGGGGCGGCAGTCTTTGGAATCGGAATAGTAATGCCGTCCCGGGGCCAGGACCGTGACGAGTCGAAGTCCTGGTCCTGGGGCGGCATGATTTGGAGTCCGAATAATATCGCCGCCCCGCGAACAGGACCATGACTGGTGGCGTTCCTGGTCCTGGGGCGGCATTCATGGTGTTCACCATCCCCATCAACATCGCCATCAGCATCACCATCATTATCACGATCAACAGTAGCACATGCATCACGTTCAACTTTCCCTTTCCCCACCACATTGTTGATGCTGCTGCCACTCAGCGCCCCGCCGATCGGACCGCCGAAAACAGTCACTGGCATCCGTGTTAATCTCTCCTCCCTACATGTTGCTGGTCCTTGCATCCCTCCATCATGTGTCCTGAAGCATTCCATCCCCTCAGATCGTGATCGTTGTGGTGACATTATGCCTCTCCCCTCCTCTTGATGGTAACACTCCTCATCACCAAATTTCCTCCTCATGATCCTCCTATGCCACAGCCCCCCATCTGAATCACCCTCATTAAGGCCTCGTGTCAAGCCCCCCCGTCTCCTCCACCACCTCCCGCCTTTTTGTTTTGCTCACCTCCTCCTCCTCCTCCTCTTCCAAATCCGCATCCTCTCCGTCTTCTCTTGCCCCTCCCCGTCGTGTCGTCCCCCTCCTGCTACCCCATCTCTTCCTCCTCTAAATTGTACCCCCCCACCTCCTCCGGATTTTCCTCCCGACCGTTTTCTCCTGCCCCATGCCCGTCGTCCTCTCCCTTGTCCTGCTCGTCCTCGTCGTCCTCATTTCATCTTTGCTCCCGCAAACTCGCAATGATCATCCTCGAAAACAGTATCAACATCATCATCATCATCATCATCATCATCATCATCACCATCACCATCACCATCACCATCACCATCACCATCACCATCACCATTATCATCACCATCATCATCGTCGTCATCGTCATCGTCATCATCACCATCAACATCGGCTTCAAGGGAAAAGGGAAAATGGAACCAGGACCTGAACCGTGACCAGCAGTGTTTTGGAAGAGACCAGCAGAAAAAAACGGGACCGAAACTGGAACCATAACCAGAACCGTGACGCGTCTTTTGGAAACCGGAACCAAACCAAGAACCAGAACCGGAACCGTGACCAAGGGAGTCTTCGTCGAAGGAGGAGACCAGAACCAGAACCCCAACCGTGACCAGGGGGCCTTCTTCCCCGAGGCCAAGACAAACAAGAAACCGGAACAGGAACCGGATCCAAAACCGGAACCGTGACCAGGGCCTTGTAGACAGAAGCAGACAGAAACGGGAACCAGAACCGGAACCGTGACCGGCCTCCTTCGAGGCCAGAAGAAGAAGAATAACAAGGGAACCGGAACCAGAACCGTCACCAAAGGGGGTCTTCTTCGAGGCCAGAAGAAAAAAGAAACCGGAACCGGAACCAGAACCGGAATCAGAACTGGAACCGTCAGGGGGTCTTCTTCGAGGCCAGAAGAAGAAGGAAACCGGAACGGGAACCGGAACCAGAACTGGAGCCGTGACAAGGGGGGCTTTTTTCAAGGCCAGAAAAAAAGAAGAAGGAAACCGGAACCAGAGCCAGAACCCGAACCGTGACCAAAGGGGTCTTCTTTGAGGCGAGAAGAAGAAGGAAGTTGGAACCGGAACCAGAACCAGAACCGGAACCGGAACCGTGTTTTGGAGGGTGCTTTCAAAGTCCGGAAGAAGAAGGAAACTGGATCCGCAACCAGAACCGTAACCAGAACCATAATTTGAAGGTCTTCTTCAAGCCTGGAAGAAGAGGGAAACCGGAACCAGAACCGGAACCGTGACCAGGGGGGCCTTCTTCGAGCCCCAGAAGAAGAAGGACACCGGATCCGGAATCGGAACGGGAACCGGAACGGGAACTGGAACTGGAACCGGATTTGGAACTGGAACTGGAACCAAAACCGGAACCGGAACCATAACCATCGACTAGAAGTAAGAGTGACCTTTCGCCGGAGTGACCTTTGGTGGTGGCACAGATGGGTCCCCAGACGGCTAAAAACAAGGCAGTGGCAGCTGCTTGCGCGCCCAGGTTTGGTCCCCCCGCGGCCCCCAAAAAGTCGCGCACCAAAGGTCACTCTTACCCAGGGTCACTCCTACGTATAGCCGGAACCAGAACCGGAACCAGAACCAAAACCACCACCAGGCTCCTGTTGGGGGCTGGGGTCGGCGGCGCGCAGCCCCGCGGCGAGGGTCGTCGTCGTCGTCGTCGTCGTCGTCGTCGTCGTCGTCGTCGTCGTGGGCGGCATTGTCGTCGTCGTCGTCGTCGTCGTCGACGCCGCTCGTCCCTTCGGACCTTCAGATCCTGACATTTGGAGTCGGCTGGGGGTCTGAGGTGGCCCGGCGCTTGCGCCTGGTTTCGGGTCCTGGGACCCGCGCAGACGCTCGATGCGTTTACGATGTTGTGACTTTTTCGCGCTGTCGGATCCCAAGGCGGGTCGAGGCGACGCCAGAAGAAGTTGGTTCCCGGCGCCTGGGGCCGCCCGAGAAGAGCGGCTCGCTAGAGGGGTCGGGGATGTCGCCGGCGGCAGCGGCGCGAAAGCGGTGAAGGTGCCGCGGCCGCGACCTGCAATAACGACGACGACGACGACGACGACGACGACGACGACGACGACGACGACGACGACGACGACGACGACGACGACGACGACGAAGACGACGACGACGACGACGACGGCGGCGGCGGCGGCGGCGGCGGCGGCGGCGGCGGGCGGCGCCAGCCGTGCGTCCGTCCGTCCGTCCGTCCGTCCGTCGTTCACCAACCTCGAACGTATCCCTATCCCTAAGATTGACACGCCAAAAGGCGATGACAATCTTAGGGATTCGCCCTCAAAAAATAAGGGAGTCCCTAAGATTGGCATCGTGATGATGAGGTGCCCAGCATAGGGATAGGGATATGTTCCAGGCTGGTAAGTCGTCGCCGGCGCGCGGCAGGCGAAGGAGATGCTGCGCGAGGCCGCGCCCGACGTCCAGGCCTCAGGAGAGGAAAAAACACACAGACACAACTAATCGTCGATCCCCCGGAAGATATGGGAAAATGTGGGAAGTGGGGGGGAAGACAAAAACCCAGGAAAACTATGAGAAAATAGGGGGAATATTTTCTATTTGTGTGTATTCCTTTGCGTGTCCTGGGGCCCCTTCAAGGCCGCCGTGCTCGGGCACCTGGGCCCCCTCGTGGGCGCAGCAGCCCCGGCCGTCGAGCGGGGCGCGCCCGGGGAGGAAGCCAGCGGCGGCTCCCAGGCGACTCCGCGCCCGTCGTCGTCGTCGTCGTCGTCGTCGTCGTCGTCGTCGTCGTCGTCGTCGGTTGTGATCGTGGTCGTCGTCGTCGTCGTCGTCGTCATTGCTGGCGTCCTCGTCGTCGTCGTCGTCGTCGGTTGTGGTCGTCGTCGTCGTCGTCGTCGTCGTCGTCGTCGTTGTCGTCGTCGTCGTCGTCGTCGGCGGCTTTGTCCGTACGGGTCAAGTCCGCATGGAGTGCCCGGCCTCCGTGTGGGCCTGCTCCGTCTGGACTTCGCCTCTCCCGGACCCGAGGCTTACGATATTCCGACCTACTTACTCTGGTGGGATATGAATCGAGGGGTGGGCGACTAACCTTCCGACGGAGCTTGCCCATCCCCCCCTTCCACCTCCTCCGCCTCCTCCTCCTCCTCTTCTTTCTCCTCCTCCTCATCCCCCTCCTCCTCCTCATCCTCCTCCTCCTCCTCCTCCTCCTCCTCCTCCAACCCCCCTCCACCCGTTCCGACAGCACGTGCCCAGCCCCCCCAGCGGATCCAAGGGGGGGAGCGATTATTGCCCCATCCAGAGTAATTGCTTTAGCCTCGACTGGAAATTTCGAGTTCGGAGGGTTTTCACGTGCCGGTGGGAGGCGACACTCTTTCGACGCTTCCCCAGCGTGTCGGGCAGGCGCTGTTTCGATACTCTGCCAGGTGCTCGAGATTATCGCAGGCCTAGAGGTTGACACCAACACCAATATCGGCGGTGTGCCTCCACCGAGGGAAGAAGATCCCGATCTCGATGATGGTGGTCATATTCTGGCTTCCAAGGGGTGACCGAAGTATTACCACCAACGCCGAAATCTAGGATCACCTTCCCCCTATGGAGGCAACCCCCTGTGTTAGTGTTGGTGCCCATTTCCAGGCCTCCAAGATTATTTTTGGGGTGTAGTCCTGAAGTACGATGGGAAGAGCATAGCCCGAGGCCTCGATCTCCGGGCGTTTCTCCGTGGCTTGTGCCGCCGGGGGGTTGCTCTCGCCCCCCTTCCTGGGGACATCAGGGACGAATCTGGGGCGGAAATCGGCATCACGCAGGAGGAGGAGCAGGAGGAGGAGGAGGAGGAGGACCAGTGCAAACCCAAGAGTCATCAACGATGTTGGAATTAACCCTCCCTCCAAGCTCCCTCTTCATAGGCCCCTCAACGGTTCATTTCCACTGAGGGAATTACTTCGTTGGAAGACAACCGTCTGAAGATCCTGAAGCATGCCAAAACATGGTTCTCGGGATTTCAGCGCCACGTATCAACCTCCTGGCCGCGTCTTGATTGACGATCTGGAATCGTGCCAGAACGTTTTTTTGGGGGACTTCAACACTGCGAACCAACATAACGGTTGCACCCGCGTAAACATGAATCCTTCCAAAACATTTTTTCTGGTACGTTGATCATGGGAATCCGTGAGACTCTTGCGAATTTTGAAAAAAGAATGTGCACGGCGCTACGGCGAGAGCCACATTTAGAAGAGGAACCGCCCTCAATCCGTGAAGCTCTTGCAATTGTTTAAAACGAATGTGCGCGGCGCTAAGGCGACAGCTACACTTTGAAGACGACTCGCCCTCAATCCGTAAAACTCTGGCAAGTGTTTAACGCGAATGTTCGCGGCGCTCAGGCGAGAGCCACATTTTGAAAACGACCCGCCCTCCATCTGTGAAGCTGTTGTCACGTTTTGAGCTTCAGTGTCGTAAGTGGTGGGGTGGTCTCAGGCGAAACGCCCAGCCCAGCCCGCCCTAAAGACTGGCCTCGGGGTGCGACAAGGAGAAGGAAGTTATCCATGAGGAGAAGGAATGGAGGACCAGTGTAAACCCAAGAGTCATCAAAGGTGTTGGAATTAACCATCCCTCCAAGCTCTCACTTCATAGGTCCCTACAACGGTTCATATCCATTGAGGGAATTGCTTCGTTGGAAGACAACCGTCTGAAGATCCTGAAGCATGCCAAAACATGGTTCTCGGGATTTCAACGCCACGTATCAACCTCCTTACTGCGTCTTGACGATCTGGAATCGTGCCAGAACGCTTTTTTTGGACTTCAACAACGCGAACCAATATACCTGTTGCACCCGCATAATCCTGAATCCTTCCAAAGCACTTCTTCTGGTACGTTGAGCACGGGAATCCGTGAAACTCTGCAGCATGTTATGAACCAATATGCGCGGCGCTGAGACGAGAGAAAAGGAAACGCTTTCAATCCGTGAAACTTTGACACAGGTTAAAAACGAATGTGCGCTGTGCTACAGTCAAAAACCCTAATAAGGACGCGCGACTTTGCTCAGGGTACCCTTGCGTCCTTGCTCTTCCTTGCTCTTGCGTCCTTGGGGTTTTCGTCGTCCGCTGCCCCAAAAATCCCAACTTCGGCTTCCAAGGGTCTTGCGTCCTGACCGCGCGTCCTTATTAGGGTTTTTTGATTGTAAGGCGAGATCCACATTTTGAAAATGACCCGCCCTCAATCCGTGAAGCTCTTGCAATTGCTTAAAACGATTGTGCGCGGCGCTAAGGCGAGAGCCACATTTCGAAAACCACCCGCCCTCAATCCGTGAAACTCTGACACATGTTTACAACGAATGTGCGCGACGCCAAGGCGAGAGCCACATTTTGAAAACGATCCGCCCTCAATCCGTGAAGCTCTTGCAATTTTCTAAGACGATTGTGCGCGGCGCTAAAGCGAGAGCTCCATTTTGAAACCACCCACCCTCCATCTGTGAAGCTGTTACCACTTTTCAAGCTTCATAGCCATAAATGGTGAGGAAATCTTAGGCGAAACGCCCGGCCCGCCCTAAAAACTTGCCTCGGAGTGCGGCAGGGGGAAGTTTTTTAAGGAAAAGAAATGGAGGAGCAGGAAAAGGAGCAGGAGCAGGAACAGGAGGAGGAGGAGGAGGAGGAGGAGGGAGGAGGGAGGAGGGAGGAGGGAGGAGGGAGGATAGGAGGGAGGATAGGAGGGAGGAGGAGGAGGAGGAGGAGGAGGAGCAGGAGGAGCAGGAGGACGAACCTGGGGCGAAGCTCGGCCACGCGCAGAGGGCTGCCCCCCTCTCGCGCCCCTTTCGGGCAGGAAGCTCCCCCGCCAGAGGGTGCGGGGCTCGAGGTGCCCAGGTCCACCCTCGGGGGGCGCGGCGGGAGTCGCGATCGGCCGCTTACAGGCGGCCCGGATCAGTAGGCCGACCCCTGCCAGATCCAGTGTACCCTCGTGTCCTGTGTCTTGCGACCCATGCCTCCTGCATTCCTGTGGCACCGTGGCCCTCGGAAGGGTCTTGTGTCCTCTCGCGTGTCCTGTCCAATCGAGTCCGACTGCAGGGGGAGGGGGGAAGGCTTCTTGGGAGGCTGCTTCTTGGAAGGCGCGGGCCTTGCTTATACGGCATCTGGGTGGAGGGCCGGCGCCTTCTGAGAAGCAGCCTCTCGCCAAGAAGCCTTCCCCCTCCTCCTGCACGCCCCCTGCGCGCCGCCACGAAGAGCTGGCCCCGTGGAAGTGGTCGGGACCCGCCTCTGGGGTGCTCTGGGTTTCTGGGCTTTCGATGGTTTTGCTGCGGACAGCGTGAGGTTCCCACGCCGAAAAACAGCGGGCGTCCGGGGGTCTGTCAGGAGGGAAAAAAACACACAGACACAATGAACCGTCGATTCCCCAGAACATATGGGAAAATATGGGAAGTGGGGGGGAAGACAAAAACCCGGAAAATATGAGAAAATCTGGGGAACCTTTTTATTTGTGTGTATTTATTTGTGTGTCCTGGGGCCCCTTCAGTCTGGCTTCTCGTGGAAGGGTTCCTGTTGTGGTCGGGTTCCTGCTGTGGGCGGCTGGTCCTCCCGGAGGGCCCCCAGCGCCACGGCCAGCTTCGCCTCGAGACCGTGGTCAGAACGCGCCCCGGGTCTCGTCGTGGAAAGATCACGACGGGGGGGGGGCATGTTCCTTGGCATCGCTCGGACGTGTGCATTTTTCTTCGGCTGGGGCCATCGCGAAGCATCCTCGACCATGGGGGGGGGGGCATGTTCCTTGGCATCGCTCGGCCGTGTGCATTTTTCTTCGGCTGGGGCCATCGAGAGGCATCCTCGGCCATCGGGCCAACACAACACGCGCGAAACCGAAAAAAATGCACAGGGAGGGGACGTCCGAGCGAGGGCGGGGTTCGGCCTCTGGTGGCTCTCGCCAGGCCCCCGGGTCTGGGATCGGCAAAGCACATCGAAAGATTCGGGGCGATCGAAATGGGTACCCCAGATTTCGCAATAAAAGGGAGGGGGTCACAACCCTCCCAGACGAAAAGTTTTAGACCCCTCCAGACCATCCATGAAAGGGCGGCCCTTCGCCCAGACCCCCCCCGAACCCTCCGAGACAGCTCAAATCAGACCCCCCCCCAAATGTGACCCCCCCACTTTATTTTGGAATCTGGAGTATTGAAACACGGGGTACAGAGTCCAACACCAGTTCTTCTTCACTCTGAACAGAGTTCGCTGTGGGCGAGGCCGCGGCCGTTGTCTGATGCGAGGCGGGAGGCCGCCTGCCCAACAGCGGCCGCTGTCGGTTTCGGACAGCACTTGTTGTTGGGCATCGTACCCATTTTTTCCGTACAGTTCAAAAACCCTAATAAGGACGCGCGACTTTGCTCAGGGTACCCTTGCGTCTTTGCTCTTCCTTGCTCTTGCGTCCTTGGGGTTTTCGTCGTCCGCCGCCCCAAGAATCCCAACTTCGGCCTCCAAGGGTCTTGCGTCCTGACCGCGCGTCCCTATTAGGGTTTCTGCCCGTACCCCTTTTTTCCGCAACCATTCCGGCCGTCCAAAGAGACGGCTTGGGTCGACTATGCGTAAGGGTGACCTTTCGCCGGAGTGACCTCTGGTGCGGGCACAGATGGGTCCCCAGATGGCTGAAAACGAAGCGGCAGCAGCGGCTTGCGCATCCGGGTTTGGTCTCTCCGCGGCCCCCCAAAAGCCGCGCACCAAAGAGACGGCTTGTCACCACCCACCAAACCACCCCAACCCAACCCGAAGGTC